CCCCCCGAGGTTAGCTCGTGCGCGCGATTTCCTCGAGCAAACGCCGGTGCCCCTCTTCGTCAACTACCCTCCTTTCCCCCGCGTTCTCCTCCGCGACCAGCTTTGAATCAATAATCTCCGAGCAAGATTATGTGTAGGCTCCCTTGTGGTATCGCGTACTCGAAGGGCGATAAGGAAAATGTATCGTCAAGGAGGGTGTTGGTGGCGGACGCGAGAGATCTCTTGCCAGGTTTTGGGAAATTGATTTTCCTCCTCGCGTCGAGGTGTTATATCTGTTTCTCTCTCTCTCTCTCTCTTTCGTTCTCGTTCTCTTCTGGGTCTAGTGGTGCGCGATATCAGTGCGCGGATTATTGATTTCTCCATTCTCTCTCTCCGGCTTGCTTATGATATTTTCGACGAAATGGGAGAACGCCATGAAAAATCCACAATCGCCGATGGTGGTGGTGGTGGCGCGCAAGCGGCACCGCGGTGAAATCATTTATTCTATTTATCTGCGGAAGAGGCGTGAGAGAGAGAGAGGGAGGGGGGCGAGGGTGAGAAACCCGTTTCCACATAGAATGCGTCGACCGCGAGTAATCTTTATTTTGCTGTACTTTGTATAATTCAGCATTCTCTTCTCTTTTATTTCGAATAGATGTCGCATGTCGATCAGCGTTTTAACATTGCAATATATTTTTATTTCAACGCTCCCTTTGTTTCTTGTTTTTTTTAACATTTCTGTACAATTGAGATATGATATGAACATTATCGTATATAAATACGATACATATGCATTATGCGTTATCATATATGAACATAATCAAGCATGAATTATACGTTATCATATATAAACATAATCAAGCATGAATTATACGTTATCATGTTCTCTGAATTATTCAAATCGTCGTTTCCATTATCCATGGTATTCTAATACTTTTGTATCTCGATGATCTGTCGCGCCGTTCTTTTATTTCGTTTTGGTCACATCGTCGACTTCGCCAAACTGTATTTCCCGCTCATGTATTAACGTTACATTATAATGAACCGTTGTTACACGATTTGATGATCGTCCTCGAAATCGAAAAGATCCCCCTTTGTCTCTCTCTCTCTTCCTCAAGTGATCGACCAAATATGCTTTCCGCGACGTGAGTGACCGATTTTTAATTCCCACTTTTGAATTTGTTACTTGTAGATCGCTGAAACACCCGAGATGGAATCACCTTTGGCCCAGGACACTCTCGTTGAGGCCCAAGAGGATTCCACCTCAGTGGAACCCGAGGACAGCGCGTTGTCGACCGACGCGACAACGACTGCCGCTGCTACGACGACGACGACGACGACGGCGCCGACAACGACGATCAGAACGTCGTCGTCAGTGGACGCCACCGCCGCTCGCCGGCCTAGCGCTGAACGTGAGGACTTGGTGATGGTGTGCGAGAGATTGGACGAGCGAGTGGATGAAGAAGAGATCGTGGAGAAACAGTCGAGTGATTACCCTAGCTCGTCGCGAGAGAGCCAAGTTCAAGTGGAGGCCTACATGGGTCTCAGGATGGGAAAGACCGCCGTCAAGGACGAGGAGAGGGCGAAAGGTGACGCGGAATCATTGCGAGATCCTTCTCCTGGGGATGAGGTGTCCTCGAGCACGAGCGAACTCCGCGTAGAGGACCAACCGGTCAGCATCGAGGAGTTCACGTCGCCAAGCGTTTCCAGGAAGAGGCCTGCCAGCAGCGACTTCTTGCCGATCGGTGCGGAGATCAAGAAGATCGGCGTAGAGATCTCGGAGGAGGAGGCGATCCAGCTGAGGAACGACGTGAGGAGGTTGTCACCGGTCCTGGTGAGCCTGCGGGAGAGAACTCTCGGCGAGGTGTCGCTCACCTCGGAGTCCTGTCTCTTCGGTGATGAGACAACGTCGAGGAGTAACACCGTTCTCGTGGAGAAAGCGTCAACAGAGGACGGCTCCAGAACGACCCGGGACGCTGACGATAATGAAGAGACTGTCAGCCCTTCGATAGTGGAATGCACCACCGCTTCAATAGCGGATAGCAGCGACACCCAGGATACTGAGGGCTGCGTCGAGAAGATGAATTGTCAGGAGCAGACGCTCGTTGTCGAGTCGACTTCCGTTTCGTCAAGGTGCGACAGTTCCGAGATGACCGCACCGTCGTTGGCGCAGGATATGGATATCGAAGACGCCGACACTGCGGACGCCACGAGCGCGTCCACCCCCACCCAGGATTGCGCCGGGGTGGCGACCAGTCGGACGGAATCTTCGAGTCCTGTCTGTCGACAGTTGGTTGTGAAGCTGAACCACATGGACCAGGAGGACGCGAAGAAGACCAACGTTTGGAGCCACATCGACGAGGAGGGTTCGCCCTGTCCGGGGAGAAGAACGAATTCCGTCTACGAGGAGGAACGAGAAGAGGGAGAAATATATGATGATGATGATGATGATGATGATGATGAAGACGACGACGACGACGATGATGACGACGACGATGATGATGATGATGAAAGAGAAGAAAAAATAATAGAGGAGCGCAGATCGCCCGAGTCGAGCGTGGATTTCAAGAAGAACCCGAAGAAATCATGGCAGAGTGACTCGTGCCTATCGCCAACCAGATCAAAGACGTACGAGCCAACAGCGAGTACTTCGAGTCCGCAATTCCCGGCCATGAAGACGTGCACGGTGGTGTTGGAGCGAATCGCTCAAGTGAGACGGCCTCAGCAGCAGGACGACACTGAGCCCATGAGGGAGATACTGAGCAAGGAAGAGCTACCGGCGCCAGTGGAGATGATAGGTAAGCTCGCGGAGAACGAAGAAGTGGTGCTGGCGAGCTGCTCGCCCTGCGTCGGCGACAACCGGGTGTCGCACGAGCTGGACTCGTCGGAGACCGTGCCGAGTTCGCCGGAGGAGCCGGCGGAAGAGACGTCCGTGGACGTGGCCGAGGGTGTTGACACCGAGACGGAGACGGAGACTGGCTCCGACAGCTCGGAGGTGTCAGCGATGACTACCAATATCCGGCTGCGCGACGTCGACGTGCCGTCCGATCAGCTGCCCTGCGCTGAAGGAGTGTCGCCGCTCTGCTGCGTGGAGATGGCGCCGATCATGACGCGATTAGAGGCAGAGCGACCGGAACCCTACACCGAAGATTCCGCCGAGAGCTTGGCCTTGGCGACCGGTGCCAGGGACGAGGTTCGGTCGGACGGAAGCGATTCCGGCTTGGGTAGCGAGATCCCAGGTGACCCTGGACCAGCGCCAGCTCCGGAGAGCGACTCGGAAACGTCGTTTCTCGATAGGATACCGGACGACATTCTTTCCGACAAGGAGAAAGGTAACGCCGTCGATCCTTATCCTCGAGATAGTACGCGCGCCTTATTCTCGCACGTGTAGATCCTCGCAATTTGATCTCATTTAACCTCTCCAGGGATATAAAACACGTGTGAAGTAATAACATTCAAGTGTTTTGGATATTATGACTACATGTGAGAGAAGAACATAATTGAATTAACGTGACAGATTTAGTTGAATTAAACAGAATTTCTGATCATTGGTAATCACATATTTTGCTACAACAAAATTAATCGTCGATGAATTCCATTGTGCAAATAGCTAATTAGCCAATTTTGCTAATTACAACGAAAATAAACAACGATTAAGCTGATCAGAACTTGGTGAAGGAGTTACCTCTTAAATTAATGAATATTAGCATTTATAATCCGTATTACTTCACTGATAAATACTTTCATCCCATTTTCAAGGCACGTTTTTTGTAAGGATTCTAACGATATAATTTATTTTAGACAGAATATATATTTCTCTTCTCTCCAGTTATTGAGGCGCATTATTTCGATATTTATATATCTTTAATTTACTCACAAATAGCTACAATTTTATCAAAAAATAATTTAAGATTTCGAATGTCGGAAAAAGCGGGCTAACTTAGGCCGCTAAAAAATATTTTTCTAGTCAGAAACGTGAATATAATTTTATTATGGTAACATCAAACTTGTCAGGTCACCTTAATCAGATGTAATCAAACTTGTCCGATAATCTTAACCTATTATATTTCGTTCATTTCTCACCAAACAGCCTGTTAATGTATCCTGAATTCAAATTAATTCAACCAACTTCTTTTTCCGTGCGTAACTTGCAAAATCGTACAAGAAAAAGAGGAATCTCTCGTCATACAATCGATGGATGTTGCATGTCACTCAAAATTGTGAAGTCATTTTTTTAGATTTTAATCAATCATTCCTGAAGAGGTTAAAGAGGAAAAAAGAGGTGCAAGATGGATGAGGTGCATAATAAATATTCCTAACGTTGTGAAGATATTGTTAGCGCATCACAAGCATTAAATCATTCTCATCATTACTGAGCCATTGCTCTCACGACGAGCAGGACCGGAAATGATCGAAGACGATTGAGGCAAAGTCGATCGTCTAGGGTTGCATGTCGTACAGAGAGGTGCAAATCAGGGAGACTTTACGCGTCATGTCTTACCCCAAACCGATCTCTAAGCGCGAAGGAGAGAAGAACGATGTATACTCGGACAGAAACGCTCCGCGAGACGTGCGAAAATATTTCGATATTCGTCGTAATACCGTCTTCTTCGACCGCGAATTGGCGTCGAGTATCGACGGAGTTTCGACACGCGCGTTGTTTGTCCGCGATAACGAAAGTGGCTCGTAAATTAAAGATCATGCTCATTCCGCTTTCCGTTCTATATTCTATGTTCCCTCGCTCCGCTCCGGCCAATTTCGACAGTTCTATTGCACACAAGAAGATATCACGTGATTGATGATACAATCCAAGGAAGATGACTATTTAAAAAAAAATTAAAAGAAGGAAAAATAGAACGACAATGCGGAACGAGGTGCAAAATTCATGGAGAGAACAATTGATCGTTCACTCATCTCTCGTGTCAGATTACACTTAACATTACACTTAACGTTGTTATTCGTGTCATGAGCGTTGGTTTATTCTCGTCGTCGTTGTTGAACTATTGCTATCAAACGAAATAATCTCGATTTGCTGATATCACTGTAACTTTCTAACTCTCGAGCTCGCGAAGAAAGCCGCGACCAAACGCGCGATCTCGCGCAAGGAGAATGTAAATTAGGCGCAAAACGGCTCAAAGAATTCCGCGGAATCTTTTGTTCTTACGAAAGAGTGCAAATGTGCCGCGACTCGGCTCTAAGGTTCGCCTTGCCACTCGGCCGACCTCGCAATCGTGCTGATCGAAGCTAGCTATATCCGACGAGCGAGCGAGCGGACGAGCGAAGAGAACACAATTCGATAAGTCTCGCATCGATTGTCAACACGCGATATACCGGGTGTCGCAGACGCGACGGCAGGTGGACGCGCGGCGAGATGGTTCCGTTGAAATTCGGCGCGGAGACGTGCCGTCGAAACTCATGTCACCCATCGCGTTCATTCACGCCGCGACCTCTGACATTCTGCTGCGTCGCGAATTAACATTTCGCGAGAGTCACGAGAGTCCAACAGTCAATAACGACCAATAACATCCCATGTGTTTTTACTCTCGCCAAGGGAGAGAAGCGCGGTCCAATCCACGCGAGAGGCCCCCTCAGTTTTCGGTTCGAGTCGATTTTCCGTGCCGCGGACGACGGCGAATTTTGAGCTCGCGCGAGAAGGAGCCGACGGCTCTCTGTCGTGGAAGGCGCAACGGCGCGTAAATATAAAGAAGCTAACTCGCCGGCCGAACGGCCTCTCACTTTCCGGAAATCGATCGACTGCCGCGGCGTGGCTTAGATCGCGACTGCTTTCGCGCAAGAGAGCGAAAACGCGTAAGAAGTATAACGCGTCCACCTGCTGTCGCCGTCGCCGTCTCGCCGGCAACCGAGGCACACCGTGTATGTCGCCCGACATGACGATGTTTCGTGACGCGACGCTCTCGACTTTCCAGCGGTGAGCCAGCTGGACAGCTTCGTGCCGACGCCGGGAGCGCCGGGAACGCCGCAGCCGTCCCTCACGAGCTTCCGCACGCCGCCCAAGAGCAACCTGAAGCGCAGGCTGACCGACTGCATGGAGGGCGAGTCGTGCCCGAAGAGGAGCAATACGGATGAGCCCGTCAAGAAGAAGCGCAACATCCAGTTTGACGCGGTCACGGTCTATTACTTCCCCAGGGCGCAGGGCTTCACGTGCGTTCCGTCTCAGGTGAGCCCCCAATTCACCGTCCCTCACTCTCAGACTGATATTCACAGTCGAATCTTCTTTAAGATCAATCTTTTTTAAGATCAATTCTCAAGTTTATCCTCAGTTGCTTACAGTGGTAACCAATGAAATGACCAGCATCTGAAGATGAATTTGAGACTTCTTTTAATCTAAACCCTACAGTCACCGCATGGGGTCTTTAAGAGAATATTATATCCAAAATAATCTTTTCTTGTATTTTACATGAACCCAAAAAACTAATTAAACAAACAAAATATTTAAATTCTCAACATAAGAGATATAAAATAATTTTTTATATTGGGGTCACTCAAAATCCCATGCGTCGATTCGTGTTCGAAAAGTAGCGCGACGACTGTAGGGTTAAGTAATAAAATCTGACTATGAATACTGTCTCAAGTCCACGTCTTTCTCTACCTTTCTTTCATTTGAATTTTCGAGCGACTCCCATTTGTTGCATTACCATCATCATATTATTGTTATTGTTATTAATATTATTGTTATCAAATAATTATTGATTCAGCGCTCTGGGACAAACCCTCCCGAATACAAATTGCAACGAGCGCGTTCATATATTTGTAAAAATACGAAAAGCATAATATTACGTAATAATATTACGAATGTAAAGATACGATATGCAGTTTTGCGAACAGTTCCCTTTTATTCGTACTTCTCATCCACCTCAATAATAACATACTGCTTGGTTCACCGTTACACCTCCCCAGGACTGACCATTTACGCGCTCCATACGGCGTGTAAGGTGCACTCTGCGCCGAGTACTCCACGATCGCCGTGCGATACTTTAATTACGTGCTCTTTGATTAATTACGACGCTAATTAGAGCTGGAAATCTTAACGCGATAATGTCGAGGTCACAGTTCCCCAGCGTGACGTAACAGTTAACATCTCTCTACACGTCCACGCCCACATCTACGTCACGATGTTATCACACAGACGCGCGATATAATCCTCAAAACATCATCATGAAAAATAATTTCCAACTGACTACAATGAGTCAGTGGCGTGATTATTTCGCGCGATTAAACGAAATCTAATCGATACGATAACGTGGAAATGACCTCGAGAAACCTTTTTCTCCGATGCACATACGTGTATATTGTGGTATAAAAAGTTTGTCATGCTTGTCAAACAAAATAGAAAACGAAATTATCCAATTTCGAAAGATTAATAATTTCTGAATAAAATAACATCGCATTTACTAACTCATTAAGGCCCAAGAGAAAGCCGCTAAGGATAGGCTTTCTAAAACCATCTGAATTAGGGATTTTGGGTTCGCTGAGTATGAATATGCACTTATTTTTTCAAAATTTTTCAAAACGTACTTTCATTAAAATAAATCAAAATTAAAAATTTTTGGCTGCCATATTGATTTTTGAAGTCAAAAAACCATTTTTTTTCTAGTCTGCTAAAGTATGATGTTTTGTCCCCCCAAATAATACCTTGGTAAGATAACTTATAATTTGATTGCATTTTTCGCCAAATTACAAAACTATGTCAAATTTTCGTATTTTTAGGCGGCCATATTGGATCCGCCATTACACATTTTGAAAAAATAAGTGCATATTCATATTTAGCGAACCCCAAACTCCCCCTATACGGATTTTCACTCAAATAGGTCAAAATTTCAAATTTTCGGGTCGACATATTGGTCCGCCATCTTGAATTTTGAAATCCAACACAAATTTTTTTTCACTTTTTAACAAATTTCGACGTTTTGCCTTAATTTAGATAGTTTTTGAAAGCCTATCCTTAGCGGTTTTCTCTTGGGCCTTAATGGGTTAATCATCACACAAGCTTTTTTCTTTTTTAGTTCTTCTTCTCCTTTTCTAATACTTCTAACACAAACTTTTTAGGATAGTTTTAATTAAATTTCCTATTGAAAAATTACAAACTTCCTGTGCCAATTTAATACCTGTTCAGGGGTGGACATTTCATCTACGGTTCTCGCATGAGACAACTCTCCCTTTCCCCACCTTCCTTCCTCCATGGGCAGTATACCGTCTATGATATTACTTTATGACGATGTGGTCGCGTCTCTGTCCGCCTACAATCAGATCATGCGAGATATTTCGATCGGTTTACGTTTCAGGGCGGCAGCACGCTTGGCATGAGCGCGACGCACACGCACGCCGAGAGGTTCTCATTGTCGGAGCACGCCGCCGAGCAGAGGCGGATTCACCGTGCGCGATTAGCGCAATTGCATACGGAGCGCGCGGCCAACTGCGTAGTTGAGACGGCGTCGAGCTCCGAGGATCCCAGCGACGACACGGATGAGGAGCCGAGCGAGAACGAGGAACTCGACCTCGACAGCTACTACTTCTTGCAACCAGTACCCACGTGGCAACGGCGAGCCCTGCTCAGGGCTGCCGGGGTACGCAGAATAGATGCCGTGGAGAAGGATGAGTGCCGGGACATCAGGACCAGCAGGGAGCACTGCGGATGCGGCTGTAAAGGGTACTGCGATCCTGAGAGTTGCCCTTGCAGCAGGGCCAACGTCAAGTGCCAGGTGAGAGTCAACCGACTCGAATTAATTGGCCGATAAAAATTATCATTCTTCGTGTTAACAGATTCTGATATTGCGAGGAAATGGAAATGTGATGATATATTGGACTTTGTGAATGTTTCAGAGCAGCTGAAAGTAGGACACGTATTTTTTTATGCCTTTCGTATGTTCAGGGTTTGAAACAATCTCTCAGCTCTTCGTATACGAGATTTTGGAAAAACTCAAATGCAGATTTATTAAGTGGTATCGAGTACTTTATAAAATTTTGCAGAACACTGCCTCGTGTTCATCACAGTTTCTAAAATATTCACTCACGACCGATTTATTTCGCAGAGGTTATTTCAAGTTCCAAACGTACGAGAAAGCGCATATAAAAAATGCGTTTCTTTTATTTTCAGGTGCTCTTTGTAATGTTTGCTACCCATGATCGAACACTTCCATATTTTTCGCAGTTAGATCCTCCGGAGCAAATTAGATCGAAATTTTTCGTAGCCAATCGCCGATTATCCGGAAATTATTGCACATCGTCGAGAAGAACCCCGAGTAGAGTAACACCGGCATTCTTTTCACATTTGCGCGTTCCGCGTCCTCCGATCGACCTTCTCGACTAGGATTCTCCGTCGAACGACCGTTTCCGTTATCGCGTGAAATATACTCCGACGTCTTCCACGAGGAGCCGTCGATTCCACATTAACCCAGAAACGCGTCGTTAAAAGAACATCCGACTCCGGACACGACCCGTACATCGTCACGCGAGTTCCCCCTCCGTTTTCTCATCCTGCAAATTCGGAATCGATGCTCGCAGGTGGACCGAATCGGTTTCCCTTGCGGCTGCACTCGAGACGGCTGCGCCAACAGTTCCGGCAGGATCGAGTTCAACCCGGTGCGGGTGCGTACCCACTTCATCCACACACTCATGCGACTCGAGTTGGAGAAGAAGCAGCGCGAAGAGGAAGGCGGCGAGCACGAGATAGCGGACAATCAACAAGGAAACGGCAGGAGTGGCGGTCCATTACGGGACATCAATTTAGGTTCCGTGATGGAAACCACTGGCAGCGACGCGTGCGTCTCAGGTGGACCCGGCGGTGGTGCAAACGGCACTGGCTTCACCACTTTGCACTACGAGAACCACGAGGGCGCCGGAGTGGTGAGTGCCGGCTGCCAGCCGGAAGTGCCCGGCACGCGGGAGGACAGTCTGGATTTGTACGCCATCAGGGACGACTGTTATCCCAGCGAGGACGCGGTGGACGGCAGTCAGTCGGCGCAGCGAAAGCTGCACCCTGAGTTCAGTCAAGCCTTCCAAAGTTTCTCGAGCCAAAGCGCCGGAGGTAGCGGCGCCGGTGGCGGAGGAGGCGGTGGAGGAAGCGGAGGAGGTGGTGGCGGTGGCGGAGGCGGCGGCATGAGCTTCCAGCAGTCGTCGTATCAGGACTACCAGTCGTACGCGAATGTACCGTCCACGTCGCGGGTGCAATTTCAGCCGCAGTTTCAATCGATGCCAACGAGCCCGAGCTTCTCACACTATGGGCCCTACAGTGCCCAAGATGGCGGCGCGCTTCAGACCGGCTGCCAGGTACATCCGAGCCAGCAGCACTCGTCCTACGAGACGGCGTTCGCGCAGGACGAGAACACGGGCTCGCAGTACACGAATCTTAACTCGGTGCAGCCGATGAACGCGGTGGTGCAGCAGATGGGAAAGCTGGAGCCCTTCTCGGAACTCTTGGCCGGCAGGTACTCGTACTATGGAGAGATGGAACCGCAACAGCACGGTACTTATCACGCTGGCGCCAACAAGGTCGAGATTGAGGCCGGCCATCAGGCCATAGCGAGCGAGCAGCAGTCGGAGAGCACCGAGGACTGCGATGAGAACTTCGGCGAGATCATCAAGAAGTCCATGGTGGAGACTGTGTCCGCCTAGGTCCGTCGGAAGTCACCCGACGCCGGTGCGCAGGGTGCGTCAGGGTGAATGCGCGTTCGTTCGCCACTCGGAAGTGCGACTACTTCGAGAAGGTTAAAGAATCCCACGCGGTTACTCGGCTCACTACGACCCCTGTAACTCGGTGAATCAGCCTGATGAGGGTTTACGGCGTTTGTCGGGCTAAGTCTGCTTGAAGCTTCTCTGTTGAGACTGTCCACGCATGACAGAGTCCATGGTATATAGGATGCTCGGTTATACCTTGCTGGAGAACGCGCCCATGGTTACGGTTCACTCTCGCGCGATCGGTGAACACCCTTTGAGAGGGAGGGTACGGTCTCCTGGGGGAGAACCATCAGGCTGGCGAGGATCTCGTGGGGAGAAGTCGTTAGGGAATTTTACGACTATGACGTGTGCGTCCGCCCGGGATGGAGGAGACTCGTCGTCGCGTCGTCGTCAACGTCGCGCTCGACGTGTGAAGTGGAGAGCTCCAGATCGTCCATCTGGAGGAAGCTCCGCCGCTTTCATCGCGAGCGAGAAGTGACCGGTGCTCGTTGTAGGTCTTCGAACTATGCGTCGCGCAAATAATATTGTTCATACAGGGTGTCTATACTTGGTAAAGAAGACCCTCTTCGAGAGCGCTCTCTCGTTAGCGGTAACGAAAGTTGGGAGAGGGAGGGGGGATTCGAATCCGGGTCAGGTGAGGTCGAGGCGACCCAGCCGGCACCAGGTGACGACGGCGACGTGTTCGAGCGAGACGACCGAGACCTTGGAACGAGAGAGACTTCTGGCTGCTGAAGCGGTCACTCTCTCTCCGTGCCACGGTCTCCGTCGGGAATCTATGAGAGCGATCTGTGAGCAATAGAGCAGGAGGCAAAAGAGATTCAACGAGGTTGTGACCAAGAAACAACATGGGATCAGCTTAGATTGCAATTTATAATATCTAACTTTAATACCTTTAAGCGCATAGGAGAGGAAGCGTGTGCATACGCGACCAGAGGCGGGTCGCGGTGTCTTTCTAAGCGAGCCTCAAACTCAGTTTGGGGATCGCACGTTCGGTGATAGAGTATCGATCGATCTAAGGCGAATCCTGCTCGCTCTGATTCGAGAGAGAGCCGCTCTTCACTCTGGAATGTTCACCGAGATGGGAGACGGTCGTTTATATTGTATTCGTTGGACGCGTGCGTATCGAGTACACTCCGAAATTTGCATTATTTATTGTACATGTATATACACACACATACATATGTACATATACATGCGCATATATTTTTTTATTAGGCGAAAGATTGAAGCGAAATCTATATCTGCAAGGAGACTCGTTTGATATTTTCTACGGAAATCGATTGAGTGAATTTTCTACTTTAGACGCCCGGAGCTGTTGCTATCTCGATTTCACGTTCGAATTTTTCAAGGGGGTAATTGCAGCGCGTCGGGTGCTCGCGAAGGGTGGAATCTCCCGACAAGTCACGTTCCAGAACGAAGATCCGAGATCTCTCGAACATCCAAGAGCCGCCGGAAAATCGCGCTCTGAGAAACGTGAGGCGAGAAACGAGAAGCGGCGGCTTCTCGCCGCTCGAAGGAGGCAGAAGTAAAAGGGGGGTAGAAAACAAAAGAAGAAGGAAAAGAAACACGGTAAGATGCGAGGAGAAGAATGGGTACACATGACACATTCGTAGACGAACGTGAAACGTGAACACGATTGTGATACTTGTGCTTACGAGAAACAAAAAAGAAAAAAAGAGGAAGAAGGTGCAGTTCGACAGGTTCGTAGGTTAAGGGACAAATTATGGGACTTTTTTACGCCAGTCAGTATAGGAACTGCGAATGGTGTTTTGTCGCACAATGCTCGACGGCGAGGCGCGAATTTCGATTTTCTTCCCGCGGGGAACTTCACACGCGAATTCATTGCGCGGCAAAATTACAGAACGACAGAGAGAAAGAGAGAGAGAGAGAGAGAGAGAGAGAGAAAGAGATAAAGAGTTTTGAACGTGTCGAGCGCCGGAGAAGTATTAATTTTGTACCGATTTCTCTTTCTTTGCGAACAATACCTTGCGATCTATCACTTATACCTGCGAAAAAATTGATGTACATTTATACGACTGTAGTTTTAAATTTGTATAAACAACGTACGCGTACGTTTCGCGTATGTTGCGAAAATCATTCGCAAAGAGGCAGCGTGTTATTTTACATGTCGCCAACGTGTTTAAATCACGTTTTCACAAAGTGGCGATTGTGTCCTTGTGTAAATGGGCGCCCGACGCGTTCGACAGTTTCGAACTTCAAATTATTAAAAGCGTATTTGTAACTGATATTAACGGTGCCTATACGGAAATATAGACGATTTTAATTGCGCGCGAATTCCTTTCTCCGCGGAGGAGAGACGCATTTTAATCGAGGGAGGAAGTACTGAGAAGCGTACGCGAAATATTCGGCCAACCATCGAAGCGAACTCGACGAAGAGGACGAGCAAACTGAAGAAGAAGAAGAAGAAGGAGAGAGGAAAAGGGAAATTCGCGCTGAAGACGACGAGAGCTCGGCTTGCCGCGAAGAGACGAAGAGGTTTCAAGGAAAAACAAGGGAAGCTCGCGAAGGGCACAACCACACCACCACTACCACGCCGACTACCTTTTGCACGCCCATCCTCAACCAAACAACCAACCAACCAAGCAACCAACCAACCAACCAACCAACCAACCAACCAACCAACCAACCAACCAATCAATCAATCACCCCCGTAGAGACATTCAAGAGAACGGACCTCTCTTTAGCATCCCGGGACGTTGATCGCTGTGTCCGCAATTAATTGAAGTAATATACATAAGAAAACGTAAACGATAACGACGATAGTATTAAATTTATATACACACGTAAAAAAAACACGCGCGTATATCTCCTCCACACATACACACACACACGTATACAAACATCCCCTACATACACTCGCATAAAACACAACATGCATACATGGTAACACACGCACACGTGCAGACTCGAGAAGCCGGACGTGTCAACTCCCGCGAGGCACCCTTCTTCTACCTTTCTTTTCTTTTCGGATTTTCTTCTCACTCCTTAATCGCGCTTTCGTACCTCACTGTGTTCATCGTCGATGATCGGTGCCTAATAAGACAAGCATAAAAAAGGGAAAACTGAGCTGCTTGATGAGAGAAAGAGAGATAAGAGTGAGAGGCGGAGAAAGAGAGATTAGAAGAGAGTGAAACAGGGCGAGAAGTCCGAAGGGCGCTTCGGAGAACGCGCGGAGGCGCGTCCGATGCGAGGGATGTGACACGTCCGCGCGCTCGCGCGCGCGGCATAAAAGAATAAACATATAAATTACACACGTATGTAAGTAACTTTTAGAGTATTTGAGTAAAAAAGAGGCATACACATAGAGTTGATAGCGTTTTATTAAATGTTGTGAAAAAGTCTGTCTCGTCTGAATGTGCCGTCTTTCTCTGAGTCATGGAGTTGTCACGTGTTCGGCGGTAAAACGCGGCTGTTTGCCTTCCGTTTTGCATCCTAAAGTTTCTCAAAACGAGGCTTCAATGCCTAATCGTCGGAAAGCGAGAGATTTCGACCGCAACCATAGAACTTCCTAAATTTGATAATTGAAGTCGCACAGCCGCAGTGTTAGCGCTGAAAGCGCGACGACAAGAGTCGTGTCGCCGTGTTTTTTACTGCTGAAAAACCCTGACTTAAGAAAAAAGGACATCCTCTCTCCATATCCAACTCGTTTTGTCATATTTAAGGTAATCTTACTATGATCTTTCACGCTCATAACACAAATTTAAGCAAATTGAGTTATTAAATTCTAGCTAAACGTCTCCCTGCTAAGAACGACATTCGTGTTTTCTCTCAACTATTCATCGATTTAAATCAAGAGATCGTTATAGTCGACCTGAAGAAATCGAAGTTCGCGAAGTAAGAGAAGCGGATCAAATCCGAGTAAACCAACGGGAGCATAGACGAGTCTTCGTCGGGTAAAAGGCACCGAATCTACTGATAATCGCGTAACGCTCCGCGATTTCACGGCGCGTTTGAGCTTCATAGTTCTTTCAAGATCGGGTCTAAAGATCCAGGTCTTCAGATGCGTGACCGTCGCTCTGTTCTATTCAGAAGTCGAGAGCAAAGGTGATTTTAAATGTGGTGCATGAAGTCTTTTTTCATGGATGTCGGTTATGGAACACGGGCGTGAAACCTTGAAGAAGGCAGAGCAATGAAGCTCTGCGACGTGCAGCAGACCAATGAGCCGGTAAGGCGTCGTCGACATTTGCGATAGAGACAGCAGAAACTACTGTCGCGAAAGTTTCAGGGACAGTAGCCAAGCGACGCGGTTTACATACGAAATTTTTGCGAAATCGACCTTCCAAATTTTGCAGATCTGGTCTATTTCCATTGCGAATCTTTCACGTAACCGCGATGTTCCAAACGCACGACTGTTCCCTTCTTCTGTGGATACGAGAATTTGGATGGAGGAATACCTGGATTATATATATTTGATCCCATTCTATCTTCAACATTGAATATCATCGTAATCACGGCTCAAATCACATTCCGCTGACTTAAAGTCGGCCTAAAATTCCCTGAAGAACAAGATAGCCGCTCATTTTGACAACTCCAGAGTTGCGTTCCCCGACATTTCGCGCTACTTTGAATCTTCCGTTTCAACCGCGACTTTGACGGCAGCCCGATGAATTTCGCGATGCAACCAATTTTCCAGACGAAATTTTAGGATACGAATTTGATTCAGAAAGATCAAAGAAAGAATCGGAATCTGCTCCAAAAGTCGACTAAGGAGCCAAACATTCCCCCAATTATCATCGCACTCTTCAGGCTTTTCGTCTGAGAACTCGACGTCGCTCGACCCTTCGTGTTCGACCTGGCCGCGACCTGCTGATCGATCCGGCCCTGTGTACACTCTTCTCGAGCGAGCCCGAAGGAGTACCATCGTCACAAATGGCGGCACCGTCGTCTCCCCACCAGAATCGTCACGGTGGGAAAAACTGTACACCGGCACTTCGCTACGGCGCGCACACAGTCGCACACCGAGGTCTGACTCGCGAGAAGCACGAGCTGGCAATTTCCCGGCGCGTTGCGTTGCATTGCGTTGCGGTGCGGTGCGGTGCGGTGCGGTGCGGCGCGGCGCTCACGCGGCTCCCGTCCCCGGTGCCCCACACCCCCCGGCGGCGGCCACGCTGCCGTCACCGTTTTCCTTTCCTTTCGCGAACCGAAGCGGGGGCCGCTCCCCTGTCCCCGTTCCGTTCTGTTCTGTTCCATCCACGCTGGAGAACGAGCGCTCTCGCGGGGAACGGCACTCGCTCGAGAGAGAGAGAGAGAGAGAGAGAGAGAAGTCGCCGCCCGTCCGTCCGCCCATCCGTCTGTCTGTCTGTCTGTCTATTCTCGCGTTCGCGAGCGGTGCGACTTGATATAGCGAGCTCTCGCCACGAAGAGCGAAGGTGTCCAAGTGAAGTTCGTAGCTTCGAGATTCGTTCGGTAGCGTGAAGTGAGTGAGAATTCTCGACCGCGGGTGGCCCAGTGTGGCAGAGACAGAGACAGAGAGGAAGAAACAGAGAGAAAGAGGAAGAGAGAGAGAAACGGAGAAAGAAAGCGAGAAAGAGAGGAGAACGACGACGTGCTGAGGTGTCGTTGACGTTTCGTGTGTCAGTGTCCTCTCCCTGTCTCTCTCCAGCTGACTGTTGCTGTGTTGCTCTCCATCTCTCTTTCTTTCTCTTTCTCTCTACTCTACTCTACTCTCTTTCTCTCGCTCGTTCCGACCTTCGTGGAGTGCTCATGAGAATGCGGTTGCCCAAGGCGTCCAAGGGGGGCGCCCTAAGGAGACCCTAAGGGTTACTCCAAGCGACTGCTCGCCTCGGCCCAGTGTGTACCGTATCCTCACAGACGCCGTCCAACTACTGTACACCGATATATCGCAAAAAATCCCTAGGTCCCTATAATTCCTCCCTTGACAGACACGCATATCCCTATAGATAACATATCCCTATAGCCCTATAGCCTTTAACATATCCCTGAACTCTTATAGCCTGTCAGGATCATATGATCGTTTTTTTCGCAGACACGCCGAACGTTCCTATCACAGTCGCTGCAGTTGCGACTAGATCCTTCGCTCAACTATTCTCCTTGTCGTAGTGAATCCCGTGTTATTCACAGCGTATATAACCGCACAGTGACGCTCGATATTATTACTTCATATCCCTTTTAATCATTTCCTTTTCCTTCCTTCTGTATCTCAGTTCTCTTCTTTTAATCTCGCTTCCTTGATATCCCGATGAAACCCAAAGTGATTTCCCCGACACAATTCGTATTTTAGTCCCTTCATAGTTTCCACGCGACTACAACCCCTACAGTCGTCCTTTCGCTCCCTCTTGTGGTTCTCCCTTTCCTCCCTTTCCGTTCCGATACTCTGTGCTTACCCCAGCGCGAAGATCCCGAGACGGTCGGTGATCACCCCAGCGCACTTCGCCCCTCCGTTTTTCAACCGACTACAATTGATCATCGTTCTCTTCCTCTATTCATCGTCTCCCTTCCTTTTCGTTTTCCCGACCTCCGGTATCGCCCTCCGAGGGTGACCGCCGCCGTCGCGTTCGACAAGAAGCGGAAGTTCCCGAGAGAAAATAAAGGGGAAAAGCGCAGACAAGAGAGAAGGAATCCTCTCGGCGTCGCTCGGTGAAACGTCGTCGCGTTCCTCGGCGTCGTGGCGCGATGCCGGATGACAGGTGCCAGGAGCGGCCACCGGTAGAGTCCCACGGGGGTCCCGTCAGGCCGACGGGGCCCGGCGCAGAATGACGAGCGCGGGCTCGCGCTGCTGCCGGAAGCACCGCGACCAGGAGGAGCGACGGGAACCAGAACAACGGCGACCGCGACGGCGAAGACGACGACGACGAGGAGGACAAGCGAGCGAGCGGGCCCGGGTCCCTCTAGCGCGAGCGGGGGGCTATGAGCGCTGACAATGGGGACGACTCCTTGGTAATTATCATACCTTTCTCTTTTTTACCGCCCCCTCCGTTCCCGCTTCTCACCGTCCCGTGCCTTCTCTCTCCTACGTTTTTACCGACGTCTATCGACGTGTCGTGTCGCCGGTGTGTCGCGGTTTGCGGTTGGCGTTTACGTTAATCGTGTGTATTTTTACACACTTGTATCATATACCTGTATCCTGTCCACTTTGGTTTGTACGTGGCACTATCTATTCATATGTGTTTGTTTTTGTTCTATCTATGATGCACCTCCGCGCTTTCTCGTCTGCGGGAACGCGGTTGACTGCACCGTCCGTTATTTCCTCCCTCCCTTTTCGGTCATTCCCCTCCTTCCCCTTCACTGCACCATGTTAAGCTGTTTCCCTTCGTCGATATAGTTAATTTATAAGAGTTAAAGCGCACGTTTTCGATATCACCGATGTTACTCGACTTAAAGTGGGTTCTAGAGTATGAAAATGTATTCCGAGCCTGCTCTCCGCGCTCGGTTCTCTTTCTCTCGCTCTCGCTCTCTCTTTCTTTCTTTCTCTCTCTCTCTTTCTCTGTCGCTATCATGTGGAAGGATTGTGGCTGGATTTGAAAGCCCGTTCCTGACGTAACGCGGTCACGGACCGTGCATTTTCGTGGCCGGAGGAACGAAGCTTGAAGACACGATCGATAAAGTGTACAGCCCTGGCGAAATTCTTTCTCTATTTCGGCGCTCGCGTCATCGATTGTCGTCGTTCCGAGCAAATTTAATTTCCCGATTTGACAATTCCACTAATTTCTATATCGAAAAAGTATCTACGTCATGCTTTCCTTTTCGACAGACATAGTTGCAAAATGTAATCGTGGAATATTTCCTGAAGCAACGAGATTGCCGCAGAATTTTCTCAAGCAACGCGAGAGAGATTGCCCTGTGAGATCTATTCAAATAGGCTCCGCGGAGATTTCAATATGTGTCAACAAACGAGTGATATATAGTAAAGATACCAACTGAAATATTTGTGTTTGTTCGCGCCCTGGGGGATTTTTGTAGAATATGTATATCTCCAAGTCAAACACGTATATAACTTATCCCTCCAGCACACGGCTATGTGCTTAGGGATTCCCTGTCTTATCATATTTCTGATAAGTATATTCTCATCGAGCTGCGTGCACAGAACTTAATAGTCGAACGACACCACTGATCGATTTCTACCTTCACTTCCGTCGCCACACTCGCGTGGCACGCGCGCGCGCGCACACACACACACACACACACACACGCATCTATACACACGTATTGAGCTATTATGCCTGAAAAAACGCGCAACTCATATCTTTATTGCACAGTCGCATAAAACGACAAAGTGCCGTCCTTGGAGCCTCCGCCAGCTCCTCCACAATTCGACGCGTCGTCATTTTTCAGGCTCGGCGGTCTCACAATTTTGGCCTCGCTAATTACGGCGCATTCAAGTCGCTGCTCGAATGCATCGCCGGTGAAATGTCAAGGATCGCGGAATGTACGGAATGCCCGTGACACGCGTCTACGTACTGCCTACGTGCGGTGGCTTTTCATTCGTAAAACGCTTCCGCGATGACGCGCTCGCGACATTAATGAGCAGAAAATTACGACGATGATATTGCGGCCAAGCAGTCCGACACGGTTGGGCCTTGACACGTCGTCGTTGCCGTGAATGTTATCGACTTATCAGCGAGTCCTTCGAACGCGCCCGTGAAACCAGCCCGTGTACCTACCGCCGTAAGTTAAGAGCATTTACGCGAACGAGGAAACGGCAGAGAGACAGAGAGATCGATGTTCCGGTACCAACGATGTCGTTTCCTATCGTGTCACGTCGCGAACAGGAAGCTGAACAAATACCAGATGCTCTGGTATTATCGCCTCGAGTTTTATCTACTGGGTGTGTATGTGTATGCGCGCAACATTGAACACTGGATTTCCTCTTAGCGAAAATGTCCGACTTTCGTGCGACCGACAAACATTCGAAACTCTTAAACTGCGGAAGCAACGAAAGCGTACAACAGATTCTGTTGTTTCAATCTCTGTGAGACATTCTTTCCTTGAAATTTGTTTGGAAGAAAATATCAATTGATAATTGCCAATAATATACAATAATACCGAATTATACTGAGAAAAGATATCTATAAAATAAAAAAAATTGTATTCCTTAAAAGTTATAAATATTTATTATTGAGCTTAAAATCCTTTATTTAAATAGAATAAATAGTTGTTTTAATGAGAACTTAAGATTTTAAGAAAATATATATTTTCTTATTTTATATTTTATAAAAATACTTTATATTAGTATAAGTAAATATATATTTTTTTATTTAGTATTTTTATTGAATAAATATATTTTATTTTTCGTAGATAATTTTTCTCTCAGTGTAATAATATATAAGTAAAATATATGAAGAGACACAATATTTCTCTTCACACAAAACCTGCTTTAAATATCACAACTGCACATCGATTTTCTATTTAAGCAAAACCTAATTTCGAGATCGAGCGGTTCTATTTTATTTTGGGATAAATCCTGCGTTTCTTCTCTCGCGGAGATTTGTGTTTTACGGTTAGGGAAACCGGGAGTCACAATTAACCGTTTACGCTTCATCTCGCTTTTGCAAAGCCGCACGAGAGTTGTGCGTTTCTCCGTCGGGGAAGGTTCCGGTTGGTGCGAGTTGGAAAAGCGCGGCGCGCTCCGCACGTTGGAAATCGAAGCGGGCCGGTTTATCCGCTCCGGCGAGCCGCGTGGTGTTTTGTTGCGCGAGGCAGTAACACGCTCGCGAGAATGCAAAGTAATACGTGTCAAGTCTAACGAGGCGCGTCGCGGAATGCAGGAGGCGCGAGGAAAACGCGCACACGTCGTAGCCGAGAAAAATTTAGGCCGAGCCGGATAAGGCGCTCCGAGGTAAGGGCAATCGCACGGAAAATGACATAGCTGCATATGCATAGCGCAAAATCACCTCAAGCAATCAACAATAAGGAAAAAGTTGCCATATTGATTTGTAGAACATACTTATTGGTCAAGACGGTCTTGTACACATGCACATGCTTATACACATGCAGCTATGATATTTTGTGTACGATGATCCTAAACCTCGATCCTTCCAGAACGATTTTTCCCTTATCACTTGGCGCTCATCAAAGTGCCTGTCTTCAATTGAGCTCATAAAAAGTTATGAGAACTTAATATTTCTTATTTCCAGGTAGTACATTCATGATTCTTTGAGAAAGTTATGATGTAACATATATCTCTCGTGAAATTTTATTAAATTCGGAAAGACGTCGAATATCTCGCAGATTATGTAACACGATTTTATATCACGAAGAAACGATATAGAGCGCGCAGAATTAATTAAAATTAATACTTAATATTTTTATGTACTTTTCATGTTTCTGATTCTTGACGAAAATCATCTTGTCATATCTCCTACTGTATTTCATTGAATGCGAACAATACTTGTCTGAATTGATGGATTGGTCGTTCAGTGATAGTACACTTACAATTCCACCAAATGCCAAGCATAATTTTCTTCGGATGCAAACCGGACTTCGAAGTGATTAATGGCGATTCACCTCGTTTGCCCCACGACCTTTTACGCTCAACATCGCTGTAAACGATCCTCTTCTCATCGCCTGATTGACACATTGCACTGAACTAACTTCCTAAAATTTGCATTTGAATGCCATCTACTGAGAAATCCGAACGTACTTTCTGGAGAACTGAATTGATACGAGAAGTTTGCTAAGGTGGATAAATGACTAGCTAACATTGCGACATTGCATATGTTTAATTAATATAGATGATAGAAACAGAATTTCTGCCAGAATTGTTTGTGAAATTTAGCAAGAAAGTCTCTGTGCGGAGCTCATTCAGATTAAGGTCAGTCATTTCTTATAAAAGTAACTATGGTAGACAGAGAAGACCAGCGACGAGAGAGAAACGAATGTATAATATTCTCGCAATCCCAAATTTGCTTGCAGATATTGCTAGAATGCTATTGCTATAAATTTCAATTTTCTAGTAAATACAAAAAAATAGCGATAAATTTTAACTGTGACTTAAACTTAAAATTCTATCTAAACCAGCGAAACATTTTTGAGCGCAAAGTACGATTTTCACACACTGAGAGAAATTATCCGATAAAAAATTAACAAATGGATATTTCCGACCAAAATATCGATGAATTTTTGTATCTGATCAGGAAATATCCGATGAAAAATATCGGTTCATAATTTTTTAATCGGTTTATCTGATGAAATGCCGTTATGATCGGAAGTATCTGGCAAAATTTAACCGAATATCCTGATCGAAAATATCTGTTTGTTAATTTTTATCGGATAATTTCTCTCAATACATGTAATATCCCATGATTCCCATGATCTTCTGTGAATCTATGATTGCTAACGTATGATATCATATGACGAAAGTCACACTGCGCGCAGAGAATTACAATGTGCAAAAAATATGTCAGCACTTTCTACGATATTGTAACATTTCGGGAGGAAGTTTCACTAGGATACCGCGGGCATTGCAGAGTAAAAGTTGCCGATGCCTATCGCGCGTTATAATTTCAAAGAGAGAGATGTCGAGACGACGCGCGTGCCGTGGTATCGGCGCACTTTCGCGATCCCGCAACGTGCGAAAATCGCGTTAGACGGGGACAGAAGGGACGGGAGGGAGATCAGAGCGGGACTCGCAGGAAGGAGAGGAGAAGGAGATTCCTCTCGTTCCGTGCTGAATTTAAAATGGACATCCGCCTTTCTCACGCCGAGGCATCACGTGGGAAGATCGATTCGAGCAGCGAGTGTAACTGGAACGTGCGTAGTTCCTGCACGCTGCTGCTGCCTAGCGCGTGCGTTATCTCCAATTGGAGCGGCCGTTTTAGCCGTGTAAAAATACATACCCGAAGCGGCAGATACGCGTAACATGACGGATGTCGTCGTAAAGATGGACGAATACAAGAGAGAGAGAGAGAGAGGGGGGGAGAGACGGCCGGCAAATAAGG